GATTTATTCATTCAATTTGCGACCTCTGCCATTTGAATTTTTTTTTCTCCGATTTTTTGATGTGCGTTGGAATCATTTTGAATCGCGTCAGCATTTGTTCCGCCCTAATCCACAAAGGGGAACGCCGAGGTGCACTCGTCTCTCCTCAAAACATGTGCAAATCAGTTTAACTGCGATCCACGATTCGGACCGCCAAGCTGCTAACCCTAAAACGCCAGCCTGCATCAAATAACAGGGTTTGAAAGATTTATTTATTTATTTTTTTTTTTTAAATATCCAAGAAGTAGGAAGACCCCTCCCTACAAATTTGGCATTTTGTCCTGCGGGTCTCACAGCTGTCTGGCGCATATTTGTACACAAGCCTCGTCCCCGTATATCCGCGCCGTCTCCGCCGCTGCCAAATGTGCATTTCTGAACAGCGTTTTCTACGAATCCGTGTTTACGTGCGTGCCCACCTGCTCAGTCCATCACTGCGGCGAGCGGGTGGGACAGCTGGGAGGAGGAGTCCGGTTGGCGGCGGGCTACCCGCGAGCGGACATCCATCACAGACACCACCCAGCTGGTCCGCGCCCACAGACTAATGCATTCACATCGATCACCAGCTGCGGAAAGCTTGTACTGTAAATAATATATGCGCGCGCGCGCACACGCGTGCACGTTTTGCCATAAGCTTCCTTTGCCACGCTGGTTCTCATGCCAGTTTGAGTTGGTGCGGAATATCGTCACGTTAATGGGCTTGGGTCAAATTTGAAATGGTGTCAACATCGCCTCCACGGGAGATTTGGATTTGTTTTTTTCCCCCCTGGCTTGTTACCGCCACGATAGCCCACTGCGATGGAATTACCTCAACAAGGCAACGCAGTCAAAGTGGCTTCCATGTAGCTAAATTTAACGCTACGTTTTGTGTCATTCCTGACACCCCACCCCTTTCTTTCTTTTTTTTTTTTTTTGTCATTGCAACCCTTCATTTGTAAGCATTCATGCACTTCATTATGAGACGAACTCGCTTTCACAGTGGAAAATCAGCATTTGCCGTGGAGGCGTCCACTTTGCTGTGGCTCGCTTTGTCTTCACAGCTGACTAGCCCATTATTCAAAAAATAATGACATGACGTTAAAATATTATTTTTTTGCACAAATTTAAAGCATTATGGCGATTGTTGGTGAAGAAATGTGTATGGTTTATATTTATGGACATTTCTTGGTTTTTTTTTTTTTTTTTTTAATAAATACAAATGCTTTTGGTGACTGTGACGTTACTCCTCTGTTAGTGTCATTTATTGATTGAAGACCATTGTAGGAACGGAACTCTGTCGTAAACCAAGGAGCTCTCTTCCAATAAAATATCAGTTGAGAGCTACAAAAAGTCTCTCTGACTGGTGTGTTAAAAAACAAACCAAATTATTGGCAGTTTGCTTGTATTACTTCCCTACACTTGTGCCCTGTGTTCCCTCTTTCTCCTGGTTATCCCCACATACAAAAGTAACACTTAAGTGGTAGTTTCGACACCAATTTTAGTGGGAATTTGTGAAACACCGCACCAATTGCGTATTCTTCACATCCAGGTTTCTTACCCTCATTGGTGGGAGCGCCAGCCAGATCGGGAGCGTGCATCTCAAGCGGAGCGTGGACCAGAAAGTGGCCAGCAGCGGCATGGACGAGCTGTCCGGAAGGCTCGGCACCACGCCCGAGACCCTCAGGCTCATTCTCGACGGCCTCACCCAGCCGCCAGGCTTTGACATACGCCAAGGTAAGTCTGTCTCTCTCTCTCTCTCTCTCTCTCACTCACACACACTCAGAGGTGTGTAGCTTAGTTTTAACAAAAACCTTGTGACTAATTGACACCTATTTACATGCACTATATGCTGAAAATGCGCCCCAAAACTTCCACTTCCAACCTCAATTAAAGTTTACTCACAGTGGTTGCAGTTAGCCAAGCCTGTAATACTTCGCTTAAACTTCATTCAACATATTATTATGATTGCAATGCAGTCTTTTGGAGACATGCAACACAATATTGGATGCACTTCATCCGCAATCTGTCTCATGAACATCCCACCACCTCCCACTATTTATGAGTCGTTTACGGGTCTTACTCTTCTGATTCCAAAATCTGTCGAGCAAAAACCTTTAAAGGACTGAAAAAGTGTCACGTCCGAGTCCCACTTTATGGGTTTATCCCAAACTGAGTGGTCAACCTCAATGAAATGATGTGACTTGAAAAGTCTTGGAACAATGGCGGTCTGATTTCCAGGTCACTTGACAGTCAAAAGCCTCTCCGCGCCTCCCGTAAGCAGAATCTCCAAAATGAAGGTCCTCGGTTCCATCGAGTATCTTGTGTTGCCCGGCGGCACCACATCGCCGTGCTCAGCTGAGTAAACAGATGGGCCGAGGCGACCGATGTTGTTCGGGATAATTGGCCCGGACTATTTCCTTGCCTGCCATGTTTGTTTAAAAACGACAGCAAGGAAGAAAGAGATCGCATGGAAAGAGGCTCGGCCAAAAAAAAAAAAAAAAAGACAAGTATTCGGTTACTTCCCGAAATGCAATCCCTCGGTCGTTCCACGTCCTGCCTTTTATTTTTTCCCTGCATCTCTTTCCCTGCCCGGTGACCCCGTGACCCCCCTCCCCCCAAAGTCAACTGATTCGATGTGATCTTCTGTCTTTGCCATCCTCAGATTTTGGGCAGGAGGACTTTAAACGGGGCATTGTATCCATTCACGACCTCCAGGCGGGCACGGTCCTGACGGGCCGGGTGGATAACACGTGTCTCTTTGGGGCTTTCGTTGACCTCGGCGTGGGCCGCTCGGGGCTCATCCATAAGAGCAAATTGACATTGGACAAATTGCCCGTTAGCCAGCGCCGCCGCAGCCTGGCGTTAGGACCCGGGGACAGGGTGGAGGTGCGGGTTTTAAATGTGGACGCTCAGAGGGGGCGCATAAGCCTGGACCTGGTCAGGGTGCTGCACTAACTTTCACCTTTTTTTCTTTGGTTTTGTGAGGTATTCTGGAAGAGTTTGTTCCTCCAATAAATAAAAGAAACTCTGTTGGGAGTGTTGTGCCACTCTACTTTTTCTACTCAGTTTCGATGAAGCCCAAGTGACTCAGGTTAAAAACAGCGACGTGGACAAATCCTTGAAAAGTCTATTTAGTTTTACAGATTTCACAAAATCATTCTGAAAAAATGAGTAAGAAATATTGCCAGATTTTCTTTGTAAATCCCCAAAAAAACCCACATTTGTCACCACAGTAGTTTAAATATTGCAAAATGTGTCATTCTAAATATTAATTCTAGCCTAGATATGAAACTTGCTTCTTTTTAGGCAACTTGTAAAACAAATGGCGGCATTTGTGATGAGTTTGCAAACGATCGCAACAGCCATTGCTGTTCTAGCCTACGAGTTCTGCAAGCTGCCTCTCAAAAGGTGCAGTGTGTGACGTCGGAGTTACGAGCAAGTTTGGAATTGAGCCCCATCTTTCGACACGGCTCAACCAAAACAAGGCTCTTTACAAATATGTCGCTGCGACACACCAGAGGGACCTGCGCGCTCAAGTGCCAGGACGAAGCAGACACTTTGCATTCACACAGAAAGCAAAATAGATGCTGTTATTGGAGCCCTGCGTGACTTTGTGAACGTGTCGGAACAGCGGCGTGTCTGAGCCGCTGTTACAATTGGATGAGGACAAGACTAGTACGAGGACCATTCATGTGTGTGTAGAGTTTGAAGGGCAACACGAGGATTGTGCAACTCGCATGATGTTTTGGTTTTGTTTTTTAATGAAGCTGTTCATCTTACTCATGATGCACTTTTGTCTTTACTGTATTTCTGTGTGTATATACATTTTTAAAATAAGACAGCAAAGTTCGCACTTCGCGTTGTATTTATTGAAAAACACGAGATTTTTTTTTTTTTTTTAAATGCACTGCTTCTTGGTGTGTTTGGCAACTCCATTTGTATTTTAAATCTTTTCCGGCTTTTTATTCACAATGACTCAAGTTGTTCCAATTCTGTGGCGGATCGAATGCTCTCCCGCGGCCTCAAATGGGTCCCCCGGGCCGTAAGTTGAACTCCTCTGCTCTAAAAGACCAAAAAAAAAGAGAGAGAGAGAAACGGAGCATGTGCCAGAGGGTGGAGGGGTGTCGGGCACAATGTGGGAGTGCGTCTATTTGGTAGCCTGAAGGCTTTTTCGGCTCGGTCCCAGACATCATTATCCCAGGAGACACGCACACAACACACACACACAAACGCTAATCAGCCGCTTCAAAATTAATCCCAGACTCCCCGTCCGCATTATCTAATTTGTTTGTTTTTATAAAACCCGCAGTAAATAGCAGATAGCAAAATGTAATATCGCTTGCGAGAAAGGCCGGGGTCCCCTGTGCCGAACTTGAGACTCAATGCGGAATAGCTAATCACGGCAAAGGGCTGGCTGCCGCCTCCCCTTGGGCCACCAACAGAATACGCTTTCCACACGCCAACACAAAGAAATATTTGATCGAGGTTCATCGGCTCTGGCGCTTTGCTCGGAGATGATCTGGCAAAGATAATGTGCAATCGTTTTCACTCCAGAGTGTATTCCATTTGCAGGTTTTGACGTTAACGTCCTTTGGCATCGGCCGGCGTTGTTTTGTTTGCGGCGAGCTCTCGGTCCGCTTTTCCTGCCCGCGAGTTTGCACAAGCGGCCGCGGCATCGGCCCCGCTTTTCATTTTCCGCCCTGTCCGAAACGTGAGCACTCAGATGAGGCAAGCAATCTGACGGCCGGCGAGCCCCCCTACCCCCGCCTTGAGTTCTTCTCAACGCCGTGATTGTGAGACGGAGCGAGTTCAGGTGTGCCTTCGGGTTTCGGCGACGGCAAGTCGCCCATGAAGTGACCTTTTTGGACTGTTTGTTGTTTGTGGTCACGCAGGGGTTTTCTCACTGCCGTTTTGCAAAAGCTTCTCTCTTCATGCCCCTAAGACGGTGCAGAACTTTTTTTTTTTTTTTTTCGCACCACAGCCCCGTTTCACATGGAGAGATATTTGGACGCTCCAGCATCCGATCAGATTAAAACAAATGATTAAAAATTGTAATCAGCATCATGCTGAATGCAGTTAAAATTCGTTTGTAGCCCTGCGCTTGTTTCTTTTGAATGGGGCCGTCTCATCTTGGGGTTAAAAAAATAGTACTAATGTCGGGTTTACTCTTCAGTGATTATTTTGATTGCTGCTGTGGCAAAAGAAAAAAAAATCATTTTTCACAAAGATATGAAGTTGGAAGTGGGGGCAAGGTATTTATTGGTCACCGTAAATGAAGCAACATGATCTTGGTGATGTTTGATTTTTGCCCATATTTAATTGCATATGGGCGAACTCTTTTACTTCTGTCATGTGACTGACATGGTTTGACGTCTGTAAAGGCACAGGCACCTGATTTAAAAAAACAAACAAATCTTTTAGGTACTGCTAATCAATAAAATCAGCGTTGCTGAGTTTCTGGCCCCCCGGGGGACCGGGGCCGTTCCTCAGCCCACGACTCCTCGAAGAGACTTCCCACCCATGCACGCGAAACTGACGAATAAAACTTGTCAGGGCCGCGGCTGAGCGTGTCCCAATGATAACAAACGCCGCCAATTTGATGAATGTTTTTTTTTTTGTTTTTTTTTTCCTCAGAGCGTGTCGTGAAAAGCGTAATCTCGGAGTCCTGGTTCAGTAACAAGACCTGATTCGATAGCCGCTTCAAAAGTGTGTCCTGGCCAGAAGTAATGTACGGTCCAAACCTCTTGTACGTTTTCACCGCTATAACGTTTACAATTCAAAGTCTCGATTCGAATGAGCGCATTTTGCTTCCAACAAAGACCTTCACAATGTCAACTTTATGATACCGATCAGATTTCCCCCACCAAATAGTGAAAAGGCCTTTGTTGCGACGAACCGTTGGAAGCAAACTGCCGCCGTGCCCTCGATTCGGAACAAAAGGTAGCACGCAGGATTCCCTCCTGTTGCTAAGCGCAAACGTATGGAGTTGTTGTTGTTGTTGTTCTTTGGGAGCTACATTTGTAAAGCTTCAAACTTCTGATAAAATGTGACGTTTGCAGGGGTACATGTGGCATTTGCATTGTCCTGTACGGTATCTCTGTTTAGCGGCGTCTCCGGCCAGCGGCTCAGCGTTGCGCCGTTGGCGGGATGTCAAAGTGGACTCGTTTGAAATAACGCATCACGCCCAACTTGAATCTCAGTTCAGCGCAAATGCCGACTCTGAGCGTGCTCACCGCTCTTCATGTACTCGGCGGTGCTGCGTTCAAGCAAAGCAACACTAGGCCGCTTGTCTCTGGCCGCTGCAAAGACATCGGCGTAAAACAGCAGCTTTCCCTGGAAGGGGATCCCAATTTGGACTAAAAATGGCTCTGGATCACCGGGCAAAAACACATAGCTTACCTTTATGAACCTGTAAATCAGACGCAATGGTTTTTTGGGGGGGTTTTCGGGTACAGAGTTGGAATCCTTTCCACTGCAGCAAAGCGCTCAATCGCAGCTGTTTTACTGGATTTTGACTGATCTTGCGTGGCCCGCAGGTTTGTTTTTTTTTTTTTTTTTGTGATATAAACAAAAGAAAGATGAGGCTCTCTTCTTTCAGCTGAAAAAAAACGTGTTTCTCTCTTTTTCCATTCTTTAGCAACCAGCATTAGAAAATAGCTCAAGAAAAGGAAAAAAAAAAGGCCGGTGAAAAAAAGCTTTTTGTGAAAGCGTGCCTTTCAAGCATAATTTCAAATGTGGCAAGACTATTTTTTTTGACATCTCAATTAGACATTCGTTCGATAAAACAACACCACACCACAAAAAACTCGTGCAACCTGAGCCTTTTTTTTTTTTTTTTTTTTTTTTTTTTAAGATGGCTGCTGCTTGCTTTTGCGCGGACAAAGCGTCTCGCTTTCAGCAACTCCCATCTCCCTAGTCATGCTTGGTGGAAGACTTTCTTCCCCAAAAGCAATCCTGACGGGTTAATTGTTTTGATTTCTCCATCGCTACCGGTTCGAATGCACTCGCTGCTAACTCCACGCGACGCCACAACTTTTGCCGTGCATCCTTCCCTCTCTACTTGGACTTCTGCAGCGTGAACCTGGCCGATCCCTTACGCGCGCGGCCGCCTGCTGGACAGATTTTAAATGATTTACAATGCAGACAAGCCTGATCCTGAGTCGGAGGCTGCGTCAGACCCTTCTGCACACGATGACGGGGAAAAAAAAAACGCACAAAAGATGTAGAAATACGTCCGGGGTAGGTGGTCGTAGTGGTTTTACGCGACGTATTTATACGTCGTGGGGAAAGAATAAAAAGTGTTAAACGACGCCCTGAGTGGGTTGAAAAGTTACTCTTGAAATTGGAGCGCTCAACAAAAGTCATGCCAAGAAGCGGAAAGTCATTTCTAAATCCCTTTTGTTGAACTCGACACCCCGCCATGTCGCCGCAGGCCTTTGACTTTCTTCTTCCACATCCGAATGTGATGGGAAAGGCTCTTCCCCAAACTGTTCGCATGACCGTCAGTCGCCTCGGTCGTGCTCTGGCCCAGTTATGAAGAGATGTCTCGGTTGGAAAACGCGATTGGAAGTTCCGCGGTGCGCCGCCACCCGTGACGGTGAGAGCGTGCGCGTCCTGGCACGTGTAAGCTGGTGCGGGGGCGTCGAGAGGGAAAGCTCATAACAGCCACCGTCACACTGATGAGGTCACGGGGAGTGAAACCGGAGAATTTCCTGCCTCCTTCCATCCATCTTTCTCCCAGCTCTTGCCCTTCTCGCGTTCACATTGCGTCTTTGAAAATGTCACCCGGCGCCAAAAGACCACATTAGCGGACACACTTTACAAAGTGTCTCGCCAATTAGTTCCGAGTGAACCAATGAGACAAGATAGTGGCGGCCGCACAGATTGGGATCACGCAGCCAGTCAAGTTTTAGCAGCCCGTGAATGTCGTAGCACATTTGACCTTGAAGACCAAAAGTGACTTTTGGCTTTTTTTTTCCTGTCCGGAGTCGCCACGGCGACTCGCTTGCGGATTTGTTTGCCGCACTTTT